GGCGGCATACAAGACAAATCAAATCAAATCAAATCAAATCAAATTTTGAAGCTGCAGTGGGGCCTTCTGACAGTTGCTAGGGAGTGGACTTTTCTACTTCTGCCAGTGATGCTCCATTGCCCAAGTTGCTGATCAAACAGAATTCATCTAATCCATGTAAATTTTACCTCCTGAGGTGACATCTGCCTCAATCCTTCTGGCCTTCAAACCTGGCTCTGCTGGTTGGCCTGGCCCCCCCAATGGGGGCACACTATGCTGGAGGTGGTGGATTGACTGACAGAAAATAGTCCACCCACCCCATAATGTTCATGCTCTTGATTTTAACCTTTTATTTATGTAATTGTTTTTAATCTCAATTTTAAGGCTTTTAATCTTTCTATATTTATATTTTTATACTATCATAAGCAGCCCAGAGTCATTTGAGATAGTGGGAGAGGTGGCATGTTAATTAATTGATTATAATAAATTCAGAAATCTTATAATGCCTGACTAGTGCTTCTTGTAAGCTCAGCCAAGTGGTCATGAGGAAAATTGTTAAAGAGTCCTCACCTCTTGTCTCCCATCTCATAGATTGTAAACTGTAGTAATGAGGCTAATGTGGAGAGTCAGTGACCTGGATTCGTTCTTCATAGGGGATGCATTGCAAATCCAATGGATTATGCTGTGTCAAGATTCTTAATCAGCCCTGCAGATACTATGGATACATTCCCTCCCATTGTAAGCCATGAGATAAGATTCTTTACATAGAAAAGATGGCAAAAACATCTCATTTCTGAGTTCTGTCTTGCCAATAGAATATCATTGGATGGTAAATTCCATGAAACATCTGATATTAACTTGCTCTTGGGATGACAATAAAATTATCTTGTTTCTATATTATAATATGAATGCGTGCAAGATATATCTAGCAACACATCCTCTTATTTCCATTTCTATTTCAGTCTATTTCAGTTGAACAAGGCTTGGACAAGAGACCTGACTCTACAGATCTTAGTGAAGAAGATGCAGGAAACAGACTAAGCTCAAGCACAGAAGACAGAAGAGATCTTGGTGACAACAGCTGTGAAAGTTGTGAAAGCAACAGCTTCCCCAGGGAGGTTTCTAGCAGTAGCATTGAGAGTTTTTCAAAAGATGATCATGAATGGAGCACTCAGGACAATGAAGATGGAGGTTATTTTGGACATCAGATGGTCTATAGGAAAAGGGCAGACAACAAGGATTCCCACTATCACCGAAAGGAAATAAATAAGGAGAGTTCTGATGACGAGTCTGCTGGCAGAATGTCATTGGTAAGTCTTCAAAATTTTCTTGTATAAGCACCGAAGTACAATGGATGGGTTTATTTTGACATTAGAAAAAAAATTAGGAAGCTAGGAATAGTCAGCGTTTGGGTAATACAAAATGCTATTAATTTAGGGCATGGGGAAGGAGACCAAAAGTCTATGGAAGACTATAAGAAGGTCTGATTAATGATTGCAGGGATTCTTTGCATTTTTAACTGCATAAAACTCATTTTAAGGGCCAGAGTTCAGTTTGGATGTTTCTTACCTCTAAATGATAGAAAATTAAAATGCCTATTTTTTGATTTGTGAAAGATTTAATGGGTCAGCATGGATTTCAAGGATACCATGGATTACAGAAGTAAAAGCAGCTGCCAGCTATTCAGAAACAAAAATACTATTAAAATATATTAAATATACATTATTATTATGACTATAAATCATAAATTAAATTTTATGACCATTGCTTTAGTACGGCTCTCCAGTAGTGTAGAAAATAATATTATATATTTTAAAAATGTTGCTATGAGATGCACTTTTATGAATGATGCTGGATAGAAGCCAGAGCTACAATTATTCTATGAAGCCTATGAAGTCTTACAATGAGCTTATGTTATCCCCCCCCCCCCCCTATTTGTCTTCTGGCACAGGAGGACCAAAGTGAAGGTCGCCTTTTGGGGGCTAACAAAATATCCAAAGAACAGTTTGATGTTGAAAATGATGGCATGGTTTATACCCCAGAACAAGTCCTTTATACTTTTGTGGAGAAAGGGGGAAGTGATCTAACAGCTGAAGATATCAGTGGTGATGATTCTTTAGATGGAAATAATGATGAAGACCCTGGGCACACTATATCTCCAAGTGAAGTAGATGCTCTGCAACCTCCAGCACCTCATGGAGAACAGGATGGTGGCCATACCGGAGGTCGACATTCTGATGATAGTAGCAGCAGTAGCAGTAGCAGCAGTGAAAGCAGAAACCTTGAGAGAGAGGACAATCACGTTATTGATTATGGCAGAAGGCATGGAGGTGATAGTTACAGTAGCAGCCAAGAGGATGGATACGATTTTCAAAGTGAAGAAATGCAAGGAGACGAGCCAATGACTTTTGAGAGCCATGGCAGTGATTCCCACATGCTTCCTGAGGCTATTCATTCAAAAGAAAGCAGCCAAGAAATGCATAGCAGTAGCAAAGAAGTAGAACATCTTGAAAAGAAGGCATATCATTATGTTGATGGTGATTCAGATGAAGATAACAGCCCTGAGCATGAACAGAACAAATCCTCAAAAGAAGATGATGATAATTCTGAGGTAGACAGCCAACTTGTAGAAGATGTTAGTCAATCAACAGAAAACGTTCCCAGTCAATCCAGGGAAGATGAAACCAGTCATTCTGGGCAGTCTGTAGAGAGCTCATCCAGGGGACAATCTAGGGAGAACCTCAATAGCCATTCTAGAGAAGATATCCATAGTGAATCCCGAGAAGAAGATAAGCACAGCCAGTCCAGGGAGCATGATAAGCACAGCCGGTCCAGGGAAGATGATAAGCACAGCCGGTCTACGGAAGATGACAAGAATAGCCAATCCACAGAAGATGATAAGCACAGTTGGTCCAAAGAAGATGCAACCAGAGGGCATAGTCAGAGCCAGTCTAAAGAAAACAGGAGCAGCCATTCCAGAGAAGACAAACGTAGCCAATCACAGGAAGATGATGTTCATAGTCAGTCCATAGAACTCGCTAGTCAATCAAGAGAGAATGAAGACACAGTATCTGAAGAAGATGTAAAGAGTGACTCCACTGAAGATACCAGAAGCTCCCAAGAAAAAGTTGTGCAAAAATCTAAAGAGACAGAAGAGGAATCCAACGAGCACAATCCTAGCGAATCTCAGGAGAGTCACTCTGTTGAAAAATCAGAAAACATGCCACCAAGACCCGCTGAATCCAGAGAATTCAAGAGGCATCAGAGCAGATCAAGTGAGAAGAGCTCTTCTATGGAAGAGAGTGAAGAGTCAGCTGAAGACACAACAGAATCCGTTGAGGACGATAGCAGATTGTCTCAAAGTGCATCATCTGAGAGCAGCAAAGTGTCTGAAGAAAGTGCCAGCAGTGATGATAGTAATTCAAATGAAGGGCAAGATCAGCAAAGCAGATCATCAGAGACCAGTGAATCCAAAGAGGAAGAAAGCAATTCTATTGAAAGACCCAGTCAATCCAGAGAGGATACTAGGAGCCAATCTGTCAGCATGGAAGATAGCAGTTGGTCAAGAAGCAAGGAGCTTGAAAGCCGAAAACTAATGCTTGACTTTTACCATAACAAACCCTTTAATGATTATGATGATAATGATTGCCAGGATGGGTATTAATTTAATGCACAAAAAACAAAGAAACTCAACTTTGTATAGTAGTCGGAGGTCAGGATTCTTTTTTTTAATTTATTTAATTGTTTTAGAAATGTGAAAGTTGACAAGTAGAAATAATAATTCTAGAAGAACCAGAGGCTCCAATGTAGCACAAATGCACCTGAGAAATGTCAAAGAAGATGAAATCAGTTTCTGAAAGATTTGACACTCATTGATTGCTGTGGAATTAAATTAAAAGAAAAATATCAGTTAAAGCTGGGTGACAATTTCTCAGAATAAATAACTGAGGAATCTTGCAGAAACTGAGAGTTTGAATAACAGTGATAGCTGCCAATGGATTTCCTTCACAAACTCTTTCAGCTGTCATTTAATACTTTTTTAGAGGCAGATATTCATTTTTTTCACATAGGCCTACAAAAAAAAACCAGTTTACACACATGCACATACATGTTCACAACAATCCAAAGACATGTGGTTGACTGCTGTTTTCAGTTGTGTCAATTTAATAGGAAATTTTCCCTTTAAGTACACAGGGTTCCCTATCATTATTGTTATTTTTTGATGCATAAATGCCCCTGCCTCCTAATTTGCACTGCTGAAATCTGGTGGTACAATACAGATCCTCCCATACTAGGTACCATCCAATAACAAATCTTTGGGACAAAGTCCCAATTCTTTGTCACAATGTCAACAGATTATCAGCACACTTCCTATGGGTTTGGAGGAAGAGAAATAACATGTTAATGACATAGATACAACATTTGTGTATTAAGATTAGACTCAATGGCTTGTGATTAAGTGGCACTTAAAGAAATTTAGTTACTACAGGGACTGCACAGAAGGAGACAAAGAGAATACATGTCCTATGTTAAATTCCAATGCACGTCAGCTGGTCTGCAGCCTTAGAAATATCAGTAATAATATGGGATGTATGTAATATTTTGTAATAAATGTATAGCTGTATTGGAAAATATTATATTTTAATCCCTTCTTTTTGTACAAGTGGACTTAAATTAAAAAAATAACACAATCCTCTTCTTAGCAATAAAATATTTTTTAAAACCAAATAATTGATTGCCTGCTTTAATATTTATGCTAAGAGGCACTTTAATATATTGTATTAAGATTTGAATTCTGGTGTATCACAATAATAGCAGAATACATAGGTATTTGAGAAATAGAAATGCTTCATTCTCATACACTAGTTTTTAAGCAAAAACATTTGGAAAAAAGGAGATTTTTTTTTGAGAGTAAGAGTAATTAATCAATGGCATAACTTGCCTCCAGGATTGTGGGTGCTCCATCACTGGAGGTTTTCAAAAATAGACAGGGCAACTTTTTGACTGGGATGGTATAAGACTCCTGGCTCCTGCCTTGGACTAGAGGACCTCCAAGGTTCCTTCCAGCTCTATGATTCTATGAAAATTCAAGAGAAACAGATTTTCAAAAATTATGCACCCATAACTAGGTCTCCAACCAGATCTAATTCTCTTAGATAACATTTTGGAATTTAATGGAACAAACAACTTAGAATGTTCCAACAGTACTTTTCAAAAGGCAATGGGACTTTCTTGGTTTTTCCCATGAAAAGTTTTGCTTCTCATCCAAGAAGCGAATAGATGAGAAGAGAAACGTCTTCAAGGAAAAACAAAGAAAGTCCAGTTGCCATTTGAAAAATACCTGGACAACCATTACCTGGATGATTGAGAATCTCCATAGACATCAATCAACCTAGAAGTTTTGTGATAGCACAGCTTTTTCTTTTTCAACTTGACACCTTTCTGATATGTTGGGAGAGCAGTGTCCAAAATTCCCAGCAAATCATTAGTTGTACTAGTGGTAATTTTTGAACAGCATTGGAGAAAACCAGGTTGGGGGAAAACTGCTGTATCACAATATCTGGATATCTGCTGAAACAAAAAAGGTTAGCCCTTCCTCCCCAATCACTGAAAACAGTCTGGTATATTTCTGAGCTCATATAAATTAATTGCCACCATTTTCTTCTTCCATATCATGCAACATGACAATATCCCTTGGCCAAAAGAGATTCCTGTGTAGGAAACCTGAAACATTTGCTGGTAGAAACCCAATAATGTTTATTAATTTGGGCATAGCAGGTTACATTAGCACAGCAACTGTATTTAGTTAATATGAGTTTAAGTTTTAGTATGTTGTATGAACCCAATCATTGTTTAGTTCTTCAAAATATTTGTCATATAAGTACTATTCCTATCACAGTGCTTGAGTCCCGTCAAGTATTCCTTTACAGATTCAACTCTGAGTAATGGATGCTTCCTCAGAGCAAAGCACAAAGTCATAGTGTTGTGAGAGGACAGCAACACTGTCACAAGCCTATACTTTAACTTTAACCAGAAACTTGTAAAAATTGCAACATTGCAAACAGCCAGAAAGTGGCACTGCTGTGTAAACCAAGCATTGTAACTATCCAGCTGTTTTTGGCTGGACTTGAATATTTGCTGGACAAACATTCCATAGAAGTTTAGAATGTAGAATAACAGAGTTGGAAGAGACCTTGGAGGTCTATTAGTCTAACCCCCTGCTCAAGCAGAAGACCTATATCATTCCTGACAAATGGCAATCCAATCTCTTCTTGAAAACTGCCATCCCTCAGGAAATCTCTGTGGTAAGATACATCTTAGAGTTTGTGTCACGGTTTAATGATTTTATTTACTTGTTTGTTTTCTGGTGCCTTCAAGTCAGGTTTGACTCCTGAAAACTACCTAGATTAGGTAGGATTAGGTCAGATTAATATAGCAGAATTCTTCTACCTTCTTTGGCAAGCACAGAAGATTAAATACTCGGGATGGTGTGGGTTATAATATTAATGACTTCAAGGATTCTTCCTGAATGATTGAGGCATGCCTGGCTGTTGTGGCAATTTGGTCCAATCAATAAAACTGAAACAAGAGTCTCATTGAATTTTCTGAAAGGAAACTTACCACTTGTTTCATAGGCACTTATTAGCAATTTTGCTAAAATAAGGACACTTCCATTTACTCAGACTTTTCCAGAGTTCCTTGGTGAACTTGAGTATGCTTTGACCCTTTTTAGAGTTGGCTCAAAACCACATAAATATGGAAATGACTGATCTGGACAATCAATCGGGAGATTTTCCTTCAGTCCAATTCAGTTCACTGATCCTTAACCTAGGAATTTCTTTGTGGCTTATGCAAAATGTCATCGAAGATTTGTCATTGCAGTAGCAATTCCATAATATATGACATTGAAAGGAACCCAAAGCAAAATAAAAACCCCAAAGACAAACAAATGTATACCATGCACTTTGGAGATTTGTTTTCAAATGTCAGAAGTGCAAGCTTCTTTCATTTGGTATAAAAAGTAAAATTGGAAATGGGGAGGAACGAGACAATTTGGTGCCTATCAGAAGGTTTGGAGTTCAGCTCCCATAATGCCTTGCTAACTAGTCCTAGTGTAGGCTGAAATCAAAATCCTCAGTTTCTGGAGGGTAACAAATTGTCTAACTTTCTTGTCAACTGTAGCCATATAATGATTAAAATATCTGTGCTATTTGATGACAATACATTACCAAATTCCTAGATTTGTAGTTCAGCTACACTGGTAGGGAATCAAAAACATCTTAATGGGGTTAAGCTATTTGTACATTTATCCTACAAGTAGCTATTCGGACTAGATGTTCTCCAGCATGCTCTCCAGCATATCCAGAAACAAGACAACTTTCTATATCCTGGCATCAGATTCTTCAAAGAATGCTAAGAGCCAGAACCTGTAAGTTACTGTATTCAAGACAAGTGGGTCTAGGACAACTTGTCGTGGATGATTTGCTATGGCCATCTCACCCTGGCTGACTTATCATGGGACAATTCAACACAAGATAAGGGACAAGTGAATTGCAGTGGCCTTGCCTTGTTTTAGATTTGAACCTTCTCAAGTTAGAAGTCCTTGACACTGGGGTCAGCTATAATTTTACTCTTCCCTCTGTTGAGTTATCCTGCATTGAATTGTCCTGCAGCAAATTATCCCATGGTGAGTTGGCTATAGTAAGTCAGCCATGGCAAGTCAGTCAAGGAGGGACAGCTGGGGCGAGTTGGCCAGGACCAGTTGTTCCATTCCATAGACAGATGCCCCTAATTATGGCCATTCCTCAATTTAACATTTGTAACAGGGTAGAATGTATAGTTTCTATTAAAACCTCACTCAATAGCATCGATTTGCGAAAGCATTCTAGTTTGTCAATTTCACAAGAGACCCTCTCTTTTTCTCCTCACCCAAAGCATGGGACTTCCAATGTCTTAGAAGATTGAAGGGAGCCAGTTTGGTGTAGGGTTAATGGCAGGGGGCTAGAAACTTGGAGAATGAGTTCAAATCCTGTCTTAGCCATGAAGTCATTTGGATTTCATTGCACAATATTGGGCTTCTCAGCTAGGAAACAGAGATGAGCACTGTCTCCTAGTGTCAGGCACAACAGGAGAGGGGAAACTTTTACCTTTTTTCAGTCACTAGCTATATTAGGAAAAAGGCAAAGGCAAAACTTTCTGAAAAATATTGCCAAGAAAACAGCATGGCTGTTCAGGCAATCACCAGATGACTTGAAGGGAAGCCCTCCCCCCCCAAAAAACCCTCCAAAAGAAAATAAGAACCTGTTTTTAAATGCTGCCATATTGATTTCTGATTTATGCTCATCCTACTAGATGGACAAATGAGCTGTATGCAGTTAGCCTTGAGCAAATATGACTCCTTGATAGTACTGTATTCTTCAAATACCTGAAAAAACATCACACTGACACTGAGGCATATCTTTAGTCAATCCAAAATGAGCAACATGGACAAATGGCCTTAAATTAAATTGAAATTTAGAAAATCTTGAAAACTATAAAAGCACTGCCAGGGAACTAGTTAGTCACTAACACACAGAGAGATGGTGGTTTCTGCTTCACATGATATTTTCAAAAGAAGTGCTTTTATTTGTATTCCAGCAAGAACAATGAGCTGACTTTAGTCAT